GCAAAGATGTTACATAAGATTGCTCAATCAATTTATCCATCAATTTTGTATTTCACCTAAATAATTAAGGATGTAACAATACTAATACATTATTAGATTTTGTTATTGTTTGTATTGATATTGAGATTGTGATTGGTACGGTTTAATCAGTTACCTCGTGAAGAATAACAAAGAATTTTCAAGTTTGATTTTTTTCTTAGAAAAACAAACTTATATTACACAAAGAATTATTTTCGAATAAAGTTTGATCGAAGAATTTTAGAATCGAGGAACTCGAATCTATCAAGAGTTTGATGACGAAACTGAAACTGAGCTATTTTGAGAAATCTATTTTAGACTCAGATTCTTTCACATTGAATACTCTCAATCCAACTTTATAAGAAATCATTTTTTGCAAAAACTACGTTTTCTCTGACAATAGCGATCAAGTTTATAAATTTTTCGTTTTCCATTACAAATTAACTGACTAAACCTACCGACATCATATGGTATTGGTATTGTTACATTCATATATGAATAAAAATAAGGCAAATTCGCCAGATTTTATATTTTTGTTATATACTTGTCTTTACGTTCACATTTAATACTTATTTTTGTGTTGTATTTGAAATTTTTCACTTACGAACTTTCTCAATGGATGTTTTACTTTCTTGTATGTTCAAAGCTTCATTTTGCTGCGTTGACTATAATATAACTTTTGTACTTATCTCAAGTAATAAAGTTCACATTTCCATAATGTATATAATAATTGAAAATCTCAATACAACTGAATATTAAATGTGAACATCATCCAAATTTTTACAATAACACATAACCATGTAACAGTTCAATATTTAGTATAGGTCGTATAAGTAATTTTTTTCATCTTAAAAAATTTATAACGTTAGCCTAAATTTGAAAGTATTTGACAAACAAAATCGTGTAAATGTATCTTGGTTTCAATCCTACTTTGTACGACATCTTTACGTTTTCTTTTTTATTCATATATGTGAGAGTTATTGCACAATAAATAGAAATATGATGTAATTAATTGTTTAATGAAAAACATGTATCCCGAAACATTTAAACACAATCATCATCATGAAGAACAGTTAAGTATCACTTTCTGATATGTTGCACTATTTAGAGTGAAATATCTTCATTTAGTTTCACGTAAAAAATTTGTTGTCTCTGACTAATTTACAAATCAAAAGTTTTGAATGATGATTCCATTCTGAGTATAAGATCATTGATCACGAAAACGGATCATATCCATCGCAATGTTGATATAATTTTCTATCGAAATTTTCTCCAAAAAAAAAAGTCAACTTTCATCAAAAACATGAAAATTGAGATCAATGTATAGGGAGATAGTCTGATGTGTAATCTTTCATTAATGATATCACTTTTTTACTTCACATCTGGTTTTATCCAGAATTTTTCCTCCTTTTTCTCCTTTGATCGCGCATCGAAGAATGTTCGAAGGAAATTCATCAAGGACAATGGCTTGTTTTAAGGAATCATGCAAAAATGCGGAGAGTGACGGAGTCTTTCTTTTTGAATTAACCATTTACTATTATACAATAGAATACTCTCATAATTAGAGCGTCACATTTTGAGTTTGTCGAAACAGAATGTTTCATCCCTTTTCTTCCCTTAACAAGCGAGAATTTTAAAAAATGGCTTTGTCATGTTCTGCTTCTTGATATGTTCTTTCAAACAAAAAGCAACTATCAGTATATAGAATAAGCGCTCACGGAGGACTTTAGTTTGCCAAATGAGCTAATTTTTACTCTTATTTGTTGAGTATCTTTCGAAAAAGTCATGGTCTATGACTGAAAATTTTAGCATAGTCTCCTGACTACAGTTCCAAAATAGTCTGGAAATTTCATGCGATTTAAATATAATTGTCCTCAGCTCTGTTCGTATTCAAAATAGATCAATCATGAGAAAAAGATACTCAAGCTGCGTTCTATTATTGATACATAGCATATTAGAAAGAAGAGACAAAAAAAAGGTGAATAAAACAATGAAGAATTGAAAATATTGTCCTAGTTCAATAGATATTATAGTTTAGTAATTTTCTTATTTTCATTTTCTCTTTCATAAAAAGAAAAGTAAATATCAAAATACAGATATACTTACATGTCTCGACGTGAATTAAATAGTTTTCGATGGGATGGTACACAATGGACAACCATTAATATATCGTCTCATCTGGAGTTTGAATCGAAATCATGGGCTACAAATCAACAAAATACAATGCCAACAGTTAATGGAATTGTTCGTGTGGCAACATTTAATATACTTGCAGATTGCTTTCCATGGTTCATTGAAATGGCAATACGTAGTCCTGAAAGGTTCGAATGGCTGTGTAGTGGAATTACAAATCTCAATCCTACTATTATTGGTTTAAATGAAGTCACTAATACTGCACTACAACGTTTACAAAAGTGTCCATTCATTCGTGAAAACTATTTTATCACTGAGTCATTTGATGAAATCAAGCACAATGATACTACTGAATCCAAAGATTACACTAATGATCTTCTTTCTATTCATGGATGTGTCATTTTGAGTAAATTACCATTGCTTGAAGTATTCGCAATTTCTGTCTCGGAAAGTATTCGTGAAGCTATCGTTGCAAAAGTTCAAATTGGAAGTAATTTAGAAAGCTGTGTCTATTTTTGTGCTCATCATACTACAGCATATCAGACACCGAAACATGCTCAATTGCGAGCACAACAAATACGTGACATTGTTGATTTATTGCAACCTTATGGTCTTCCATTTGTCATTATGGGTGATCTCAATCTTCATTACGATTTTGAAGATGTCGTAGTCATCGACAATAAACTCGTTGATGCATGGGCTCAAACACATTTTTCTCATATTCATCCATTCAATGATGGAAATCAAGGTTATACATTTGATGCTGTAAATAATCATCTTATTCCTTATTATATCCCTGGAGAATGTCGACAGATGCGGCTTGATCGAATTCTCTTTTCACATGGATTTCCTGCGTTTGCAATAACACCTTGTACTCTGTGGGCAAATGAACCTATTAAATCTGGTAATTATCTCTTTCCAAGCGATCACTTTGGACTATTTATTGACATAGTTACTGATACAATAAGTGATAGAAAGGTTATATCACTGGGCGAAACTGATCCATCTGCTGAAGAGATTCTATTTCGTAATGCCGAGAATAACAAAGATCAACGGGCATATCGTCCTGGATTATTAAGAACTACAGCAGCATTGGTATCTCATATATTTTGGCTTGGAGCAGTTACTCTTGGTCTCAAATAGAAGATCATACACAATGTCTGATGAATTGAACTCATTTTTAGAATTTTATGAATTATGTATCCATAAAAGTTTCATTTGTTTTTATTGATTTATTAATACATTTGCAATAATCTCGATCATGTGACTCTTGTGTTGAATTTGATTTTCAATATAAGATAAAAAATAATCATTTTCATGAAATTCTACACGTCATTTCTCGGTCAAGTTACCTTTATCTTGATGGTCTTTCATCAATCTGTATAAAATATCCTTACATTCTCAAAAATAGACTTTCCTTGGCGAGAGTATCAAAGTTAGAAATTTTTTGTTGCTTCATTACTGAGTAACTGGTAATATCACTGTTTGGTAACGATAGTATTCCAGCTCTAGCTAAAATGCTGACAAGATACAAACATCTATATGAACTAGAATTTATTTCTAGTAAACAATATTGCATGAATAATCAATATTTTTTTCGAAAAATCTTGTTCAACGTCAAGAACACTTTTCCTTGTACTTTTAGACTATCTTAAAATATTATTTTGATTATTAAGTTCTCAATAAAAGAGTAAAACAAAAACTGAATAAAATTTCTATTTTATTTCACTTTTTTGATGCGTAACAATTGGATATAAGATATCAAAAAAAATACCAAAGCCATAATTGCTATGGCAAGTAAATTTTTCCACATATCCCAATCAGTATCATGTGGAATATTACGTTCAATTAATATTTGTTCACCTCGCAATGGACATATTCGAGTATTGTTAGATAAACAAAATGTTGAATTTCGAAATTCATTAATAGTTAATAAATTTGAAGAATAATAAATTGCACTAATCCATTTAATCCATCGAAGAAAAGAAAAAACGCTTTCTATATCAACAAGAAAACCACTAACAACCATTGTAATAGCAAAAATAAGTATAGTCACAGTAAGAGCAACAGCTAAAAGAGAGCACATAATATTGTATATAAAAAAGAAAAAAAAAAAGAAATATTTTTCTCATACCAAATACAGGAATACAAGCAGAAATAAAGAAACACAAGGCTGAACCATAAACTGAGGATACAAATATTGTAACTAAGAAGATAAGAAATCGAATTATTGAACGTTGAAATCCAGCTAAAGGATAAGTTATTATAGAAAAGATAAATGCAGGAATAATACGCATTGGTATTAGATCAAAAACTATTTTAGTCGACAAAAATGTTGATACTCGATAATAACCGCTAGCATATTCCTAAAATCAAAGAAAATAGTTTATTTTCATTTTATTTTATAATAAAATTTTTTACGTGACTAAATAATGCTCGTTCTTTAATCAATGGTTCTAAAGCACTTGCTGTACATAATATTTGATGTGTAGCTAAAAAGAAAATAGCACCAAGACGATTTCGTACACCAGGATCAATAGTTGCTTTCATATTGTTAAACAGTAATCCAGTAAGAAGACCTAACATAATAGCAATAATAATTTGAGAAGCTGCAAATGCTGGATTTCTTATTGCATTTCGAAGTGTCCGTTGTGCAAGATAATAGAATTCAGTTGTACGAGATCGAAGAACAATCTGATTTGTGAACGATAAATCTTCATTTTCAGTTTCATTCATTACTGATTTTATTAAAGATTTAACATTCGAATGCATTTGTGAATGTTGATAAGCTGTTTGAAGTATTTTAGATGAACGACCATTGAATTCAATCAATACATCAAGAACAAAATCTGCTGGATTTTCATGTTCATTACATTCAAAACCTTGAGAACTAAAGTAAGGTAAAACATCCATGGGTGAACCAAAATAAATAGTATGACCAGCTGATAGAAAAAGAACAGTATCAAATAATTGAAAGATTGAATAACGAGGTTGATGAATAGAAAAAATAATTGTACCTAAAAATAATAATTTTGTTTTTAAGTTTTGAAATTGTTTTTCTCTATATAACTAACGTCCTTGACGAGATAGATTATATAAACAATCCATAACATTTTGTGCTGTCGATGCATCAAGTCCTATTTGTAAAAATAAGAAATATATATTAAATAATAATAATTATTATTATAATAACTTACCAGTTGTTGGTTCATCTAAAAAAAGAACTTTGGGCGAAAGAACTAATTCCATTCCAATACTTGTTCTCTTTTTTTCTCCACCAGATACTCCTCTGATAAAATCAGTTCCAATTAAAGTATTTATACATGAATGAAGATCTAAATCATGTATAACTTGATTAACTCGTTCGATTCGTTCTCGAGCAGAAAATGGACGTGGTAGACGAATATTAGCCGAAAACATTAGATTTTCTCCAACAGTCAAGGTTCCACTCATAATATCTTAAGAAAAAAAAATCATATAAATACAACAGATAAATTCATATCATACCATCTTGAATAACATATCCAACAGTATATTTATAATAAGCGGAACGAGATCTTCCTGATACAAGAACATTTCCAGTTAAGCCACGACTGTCTTTTCGTTCGGCAAGAATATCAAGTAAAGACGATTTACCGCAACCTGTTGGTCCTATCAAAAAAAAAATATAATAATTAACCATCATCAATATTGCACAAATATACGAATATATGGACTGTTTCTTACAGAAAACGGGGTATACTCATCCTTCATTTAGCTTTGATTCTTTAGCAAGGTTACTTTTTTGCATAAGTTCTTTTAACATAGACATCCGTAAAACTGTTAGCTCTTTCAGTTGACTAATAATTAAAAAGTAATTAACGAATATTTCTGTAATCATATGAAAAAACATATCCATTCTGCGTCATGCCCCCAACGCTGGTTTTTACTGATAATTCCTCTGCACAAAAATGGTTAATGCTGATGTTTTTCGGAGTATCTAAAGTAACTAAACATACACTTCATATAATAACATCAGCTACAGAAAAGTTCATTATTCTGAGATAAACATGTATTTATTTTGTAAAGGCACGTTGCTAACGAATGGTTTCGCCTATATATTAATATTTTAAAAGGTTAAATATACCTAAAATAGCATTCATTCCTGGTGTAAAAATGCCTGAAAGATCAAAGAGAATTTGTTTCTTTGTAGGTTGTTTGTAACATGAAAATATTTGTTGCCATTTATACCATTGTTTAATATTTGTTGTTTGATCTACTGTATAATTAATATTTTCAAAGGATATTGTCATCGTTTTGTATGCATTCTCATCAAATAGTATTCCATCTGTTTCATTAATTGTTCTATTCTTCAAGGACAAACTAGATTGATTATAATTTGAATATAATTTTGATGA